TTCATCATTTCTAAACTTGTTTTTATATTTTCTAATGTTATTATGCTTATTTTAGTTTCTAGGATTTTAATAATATTTTGATTATTTCCAGAGTTTTGGTCATCAGACTCCCAATCCCCCCAAAAAAAGAAGAAAAGATTATCACATCAGAATAGTCAAAGTTACAATTGATTCTTGGTCAAGACCTGATATCTGGTTGCATGGTCCTAGACAATTGGATCTTAAGCCAGTGATTATTAGAGTGAGTCCCTTTTTATGATCAAGTTTTACTTGTTACTTCTTGGGTGTTTAGATTTCTGTCTTTAATATGGACTTTAAAATTTATTTCATCTTGGCCTATTCGCCCACTCAACCAACTTACTATTTTATTTAATTAATTTTTTTTCCAAGTTTTTATTTAAAAAATTTCAAGGGCCGGCCTGGTGGCTTAGCGGTTAAGTGCACGCGCTCCGCTACTGGCGGCCCGGGTTCGGATCCCGGGCACGCACCAACACACTGCTTCTCTGGCCATGCTGAGGCCACGTCCCACGTACAGCAACTAGAAGGATGTGCAACTATGACATCCAACTATCTACTGGGGTTTTGGGGGAATAAAGGAGGAGGATTGGCAATCGATGTTAGCTCAGAGCCGGTCTTCCTCAGCAAAAAAAAAGAAGAGGATTAGCATGGATGTTACCTCAGGGCTGATCTTCCTCACAAAAAAAAAAAAATTTCAAGCCCCTAGAAAAGTTGGAAGACTGAGACAGTGAATACCCGCATACCTTTCACCTACATTCACTGATTTTTAGCTCAGCTTACTTCTTAGGGACACTGCTAAGACGGAAAGTGGTAGCCCAGGCGTGCACAGAGGAGTGTTCCTGTTATCTCCTTGTTTGGAATGCTAACCTTCTACAGGAGTCTGAGATTTTTAGTTTTTCTGGATTTTGTACTATTGACCCACATCAAACTTGTCTTTCATAAAACCTTCAGGCCTTTTTTATGTACACACAAGTAAGTTTTGTTGTGATATTTTTTGGAATTGTTGAACAATTTGTTTTGAGGCTGTTGATCACTTTTCTACTCACTATTGAAGCTGCTGATGGTGCTTGGAACATTTCCCAAATTGGTTGACTGCTCACTCCACATAATGTTTTGTCACAGAGCGATTTGCCCCACATCAAAACAGAGATCGATGCCTTGAAGAACCTGAGACATCAGCATATATGTCAACTCTACCATGTGCTAGAGACAGCGGACAAAATATTCATTGTTCTTGAGGTTAGTAGTATGTTCCAGAGACCTGAAAGTATTTGGTCACTGTCTCAGTCTGCTTGGGCTGCTATAGCAAACACCACAGACTGGGTAGCTTATGAACAGCAGCAATTTATTTCTCACAGTTCTGGTGGCTGGAAGTCCAAGATCAAGTCACCAGCATGGTCAGGAGAGGGCCCTCATCCTGGTTCATAGCTAGCTGTGTCCTCATGTGGTGTAAGGGACAAGAGATCTCTCTGGAGCCTCTTTTATAAGAGCACTAATTCCATTCATGAGTCTTCTGCCCTCAAGTCTTAATCACCCCCCAAAGGTGCCACCTCCTAATTCTGTCATCTTTGGAGGTTAGGACGTAAACATTTTGGGGGGACACAAACATTCAGACCATAGCAGTGACTTTATCAAAAGTTAAGAGAAAAGTACGTTTTACCTGAAATATTAGAATAAATGTTTAGTGGTTTATCTGTTTGAATTCTGTCTATAACAATTTAGATCAAGTAGTCATATATAATAAACTGGAGATTCATTGTGAACATTCTCTTTCTAATACACTCCTAATGGGGTGGTGTAGTTTTCTGGATAAAATATGTTAGAATTTGTTCCTAGAGGGACATATCCATTTCAGTTTTATATGATGTATTAGTCTAGGGCTGTCGTAACAAATTGCCACGAACTTGTCTTAAAACAAAAGTTTGTTGTCTCACAGTTCTGGAGGCTAGAAGCCTGAAATCAAGGTGTAGGCTCAGTTCTGGAGGCTAGAAGCCTGAAATCAAGGTGTGGGCGAGGTTGATTCCTTCTGGAGAATCTGTTCTATGCCTCTTTTCTAGTTTCTGGGGGTTGCTGGCAATCCTTGGTGTCCCTTCATTTATAGATGCACCACTCCAGTCTCTGCCTCTGTCTTCAAATGGGGTTTTCTTCTCTGTGTGTCTTTGTCTTTGTCCAAATTTCCCTCTTCATATAAGGACACAAGTCATTGGATTAGGGCCCACCCTAATCTACAAAGACCTGATTTACAAATAGGGTCCCCTTCACTGGTCCTGGGTGTTAGGACTGGAACATATCTTTTTGGGGGACTCAGTTCCACCCACAGCCTATAGTTAGCCTTCAATATATGTGTTATGCCAACGAAACTCTTTCAAGTTTTTAACCTGCCCTTTTTGGTTTGGAAAGTGAAGTCTTGAGAACTTGCATCATTCATCTCTGGTTTCATTTTCCTTAGTCTCAGCCAAATAATTTCTAACTGCACATCATTTTCACAGATTAGCACTTTTTAAAAAGCACATTTTAAAATTCATAATGCTGAAAGTTTTGGACCTAGAACTATTTTCTCATTATTACATTGTAGATACACTCACGTGGTCTACAGTGGTGATTTTAAAGCCTTTTTTTTTAAGTTGATCTCTTTGTCCAAATTAAATACTTAAAAAACAACAGCAACAAAAAACCATGAACCTAGGACAGAATTTAAAAGGGACAAGAGAGTATGTATTACTAAGTGACATTCTCTCTGCCATTATCCCAGTCATCTAATTCCCTTCCCCTGAATCAGTCACTTACTTCTCTTGTGTTTCCTATAGATATGCCATGTATTTACAAATACCTGCATATATTATGTATGTATGTATGCATGTGTGTACATATATGCGTGTATGTATGTTTTTTTATATATACAAATATATATAAATATGTGTGTGTTGCTTATCATTTTCTGTCACACAAATGGTCACACACTGTAGTATTATTCTGTACTTTGTGTTTTTGTCCCCACTTAACATTTTAGCTTGGAGACCATCCAGGTACGTTCACAGAGATTTTAGATGTTTTTATTTCTCTTTATTTTATATTTCTTTATTTGAAAATATAAAGTATGATTTCTTAATGCAAATCTTATTGGATAGCATTTAAGAAATTGACAATTGAGGTGTAATTTACATATGATAAAATGCACACATTGGGTATATACAGTTTGACAAAGGTATGTACCCGTGTACTTCCCACCCCAGTCGAGGTGTAAAACATTTCCAGCACCCCAGGAAGTTTTCTCCTGACCCTTTGAAGTTAATCCCTGTAACACCACCCACCCACTGCCCTTCCCAGCCCTGGTCTGATTTCTGTCACCATAGGTTAGTTTTAACTGTTCTATATCAGTTTACAGTGGATGTAAACTGTTCCACTGTACTTGATGTAAATAGAATCATACAGTCAGTATTCTTTTGTGTTTAGCCTCTTCTGTTCAGCTTAATGCTTTTGCAAGTCACCGTATCAACCTATGCTCCTTTACACCTTGCTTTTTTCACTTAATACTGGGTATTGTTTTATATCAGTTCATAAAGAGCTTCCTCTTTTTTTATGGCTGCATAGAATTCCATTTTACAGCTGTGTCATAATTTATATATGTGAGCATTTGGGTTGTTTCCC